TGTTTCCCTGTAGTGTCTTTGATATATAATCTGCATGTCTGGGTCTGCTGCTTGCAGGGAAGGCCAATCGATCTCTAGGGCTGTGCTAAGAATTGAATTAACAGTACCTGCGGTTTGAGGTATGCGGGAAAGAGCGTCGGCGTTTGTATGTCGGCTTCCAGGTCGGTACTCGTATGTGAAATCGAACTCTTGTAGTCGTTCTTGCCAGCGTGCCACTTGCCCCTCTGGTTCGCGGAAGGAGCGGAGCCACTGTAATGCATGGTGGTCTGTGCGTACACGAAAAGGGCGCCCTAAGAGATAGTGACGAAAATGTTACAAAAATTCTACCAAAGCCAGCATCTCTCGGCGCGTCGTAGAATACCTTGTCTCCCTTTTATCTAACCGCCGGCTAGCGTACGCTATGACCCTCTCCTGTCCATCTTGTGTTGTTTGAGAAAGGACTGCTCCGATAGCTGACGAGCTAGCATCAGTGTCAAGTATAAACTCACCTCCTTTATCTGAGGTGTCTGGAAAAGCTAGTATGGGTGGAGCAGAAAGACATGATTTCAAGGTGTTAAATGCTTGTTGACATTCTGTGGTCCACAAAAATTTTCGTCCTTTATGCGTCAGGCGAAGTAAAGGTGCTGCTAGGGATGCGAAATCGCGCACGAAACGTCTATAGTAAGAAGCGAGCCCCAAGAAGCTACGTACCTCCTCCGCAGATTTCGGCTGTGGCCATTTAATAATGGCGCTCGTTTTTTCCTTATCTGTTGCTACCCCATTCTCTGTAATGCGATGTCCTAGAAAGAGTACTTCTTTCTGCAAGAGTCGACATTTGGACGGTTTCACCTTTAAATTGTGCTGCTTAATACGCTGTAAGACTACCCTTAAGTTGGCATTATGCTGTTCAAGCGTGCTGCCATACACAATAATATCATCAAGTTAAATCAAACATTTGTGTGGTACCAGGGCATGTAGAACCATCTGCATGAGTCGTTGAAAGGTTGCTGGGGCATTAGTTAACCCGAAAGGCATCACCTGAAATTCGTAGAGACCATTTGGTACAACAAATGCCGTCTTTTTTCTATCCTGAGGTCGTACTTCTACTTGCCAGTATCCGGATGCTAGGTCTAAAGTCGAAAACCAACACGCACCTCTCATAGCATCCAATGTTGTATCAATCCGTGGTAGTGGGAAGGAGTCGCGCTTTGTTATAGCATTAAGGCGACGGTAATCTATACATAATCGAAGGGAGGAGTCTTTCTTCTTCACTAAAACAATGGTTGACGCCCAAGGTGATGAAGATGGCACAATAATCTTTTTCTCTAACATCTCTTTTATCATTGATTCTAACTGAGGTTGATAGTGTACCGGTACTCTTCGGGGTGGTTGACGTAATGGCATATGATCACCTGTGGGAATAGAGTGTTGTGCCGTGGTCGTCCGATCACCAGAGATATTCTCTGAGAAAAGAGAACTAAATTTTTGAAGTAAGGAAATGGTTGATAGACGGACATCCTCTGATACTTGTTTATTGGTTTGTACCCGGTGTATGACTCCCGACACCCCTACGTGAGCTACCAACTTAGTTGCGTTCTTAAGGCGATGTGCTGGAACGGTTTCTTCCCCGATTCCAGCTTCCGCCTTAGCTACCTGTATAACGACGTCGTATTTTAACATGAAGTCAACTCCAAGTATAACATCCCAGGTGAGTGTGTGGCATACTAAAAATTCGTGTAGGAATGAGTGTTTATTCACCGTTACCTCCAACCACACCTTAGACCGTACATCCAGAAGGTCACCACCGGCTGTTTTTAGTGTGGAGGAACATGGTTTTTGTCGGTTTATGCGATTCAACGTGCTTAAGAACCCTTCTCTCACAATGGATACTGAAGCTCCTGTATCCAGTAGAATAGTAGTCTGAACCCCCTGTAAACTACCAGCTATGGTTATCGGATATACTGATTCAGAATAATATGAAGACAAATGGGAAAATCTGGTCTCACCTGACTACCAAAACATATTGTGCCCACATTTTCGGGCTCTCCGCCCAAAGCGTTGGCAGTAAAAACACTCCATCTTCCGGTTATGTTGACTAGTTGGTAGCGACTGTCTATCGGGGCGCCGTTTGACCGTAGGAAAAGTTTGAGTGAAGCCGGACTGACGTGGTTCTCCAGGCTGATCAATAGCATTCGCTGACGACTGCGGTGTATTGACAGCGTTTGATAGCTTGTCTGCGGCAAGGAACCGGAGAACTGTGGTTTTTAGGTCTTGAATGCTCTTTGGTGGCATGTATGGAAGGTGCTGTCGTAGTGCACCTGGCAAAAGGCCTTCTGTGAATCGTGCGCGTATTATTTCTTCCCGAATAGAGACGTCTAAGCTTGGGAAGGCTACTATTGCTGCTTGCTGCAGGGAGTGTAGATATTCCATGGGTTCCTCACTCGTTTTCTGGTGACGCGACAGGAACTGCATGGTCCCCAGCTGCATGTCTACTGTTAACGAAAAGCATTCATCAAGAACCTTCCAGTTTTGGGCAGATGAGTTGCTTGCGGTATAACCATTGGCAATCGCCCTTTTTGCCGCTTCATCGTCTAAACAAGACAAGAGGTAGTCTGTGTTTATCACCTACATAATTGTAATTATCTTCCATTTATTTCTATTCGGCTTGCGCGCATCATCTTTACTCCGTTCTTTTACTCCTCTTATTACTAGCTGAATATGGTCAGCCATATGAATATTCAGTGGTGTCTCGGTAGCCAGTCACAGTAAATATGTTGCCCAGTTATAAGCTCACTCAATCGCATTTGATGGATATGAACCGGTGAAAACTGCCAAATATTCCGAAACTGTCGTAATTGACTGGTTTGACTAACATCACTGAACACCACCTATTATATGATACTGTCCTTTAACATCTTAGTGTTAATGTGAAGACAGTGAGTGGTTTATAACCTCTATCATAAAAGTATTATATATGAAACGCCTAATCGGGTACCGATGGAAGTAAATCTCAGTATCAAGAGAACTGAAAACATTTGTAATTTATTCCAGAACTGGGCATGAAGCAAGATGTATTCGTGGACTGACTGCGCCAAACGCTTGTTTTTATGTTTAAATCAGAGGAAAAAGAGGTGTGGTGTCCCGTTCTTGTGAAAGAATGGACTCAAGTCGTTACTGGTGAGAGACATCTCCGTAAAAGCTGGGGTAATTTGGGACTATTTTGGAAAATATAAAAACATTTTCCATAAAGTAACAGTTGCATACTATTAACCGTATTCTAGATATTGTTATCGAATAAGAATTCTATGTACCTGGAATACTGAGTAGATTTGAAATAAAGAAACCAATAGCACCAAATAAATCACTAAAGGGACTCGTTCTTTTTCATCACAGATACTTTAGATGTGTATTTGAAAATATCAGAGACCTAAGGTGGATGCAAGTCGGCTAAGGAAATCCTAGCAGATGTACTATTATCGTTAAATCTATTACATATTCTGTCTAATAATAGTCTCCATCTATCAGGGTTGAATGAGGATGGTGTGATTTCTCGACGTACGTACGTTCACATTAGATTTATATGGTGTAAATTTCTCTTAACGTACTCTACTGTAACCTGGCAGTCAGGTTACCATGTAACATATTGTATATATTTAACAGAGCAGACAAAAAGAAAAGAAGCTGTAAATTGGTACTAGCCTAATCGTTGATTGGTTGATACCTATAATCTCCCATCCCCGTCGTTTCGTCCTCAATCATTTAACGTTTAGTGACATATCTTATGGAACAAGGGCATCTGTAGTTTGACGAACGATTCGTCAAAAGTCGTGTAATTAAGCTGACAGAGCAATGTCGCAGAATAGTCTAACATTCCTCTACTTTAGGGAGATGCTTCCATATGCATTATGATGCATATTGGACAAAAAGAAAGCAATAAACTGAATGCGAATGATGTCCCATTATTTGTATCCTAGATACACATGAACACTGTCATTCGAAAATAGACAACCATTGAACATTTCCAAGTGAAAACTTATTGAGGTTAAAGATGCCACAGATATTCAGGGTTTGACAATAGTTTTGCCTACAACACGTGTATAATCGGAGGTTACCGACCTAGTCAAATCAGAAGTCAGGGATAAATAAATTCAAAGGTATACATAGAAAGTGGCTGACATGTTGAGGAGCTTTTGATCTAAGCTGGCTAGTAGTTGCACAGGATACGTATCACGGCTTACCCAATCGTGATCTGGTGGGGATGCATGACTAAGCGTCTTCAGCTAGGTGAGTCGGTTAAAACTAACGAGATCAGCATCAAATATCAAAGAGCTGCAGAACTATTGATTTTGGGAATTTATTTACCCCCACAGGGTTTCAGAACCACTTAGATGGTCCGTAAAGCCTTCATGCCCATTATTCTTATAATATTCACGTCTTAAATGATAGTATTTATTCGATCATAAGAAGAGTACTGCATACTACCAGGTAGCTACATTTTAAAGACAGACTAAGGGCTTTTGGAAAGGTGAGATGTTACAAAATAGTGGTATGGGGTGTAATATACAAATCAGTTAATTCCAAAATCATTGACAGGACTAACACAAGCCATTAAGCCTCCTGTCCTTTTGAAACTGAAACTGAAACTAACTAGCACGCACTACAAGAGTCAATGGATCGGGGATAAAGACAGAGAACACGGTGGATTCACTTCAATGTATTAGATGAAATTTAAGATTCCAAGATTAGGTATCTACAAAACAATTATTATCCTACACGAAAACTGCATAGGCTTCCTAATAACCAGGTATAATTTGGTTCTTAGGGTCCCAGAGATTTCACTTGACAAGAGATTGACTGAATAAGTCTATTCTTATTATAAAACAAAGAAGAGGACTTATTCGTAGTTTTCAAATTGCTTAACAATAAATTTGCATTTGAGGTACTCTATTTCGTATTTTAGAAGCACTCCACCAAATGAGGACTCAAGTGGCAAAAATCTGCTAGTTTATAGCAGCTATCGGATGTTGTTGACCTTCAAGGTGGTGAAAACACCGCACATTTTGGTTATCATGTCAGTTTCTGTTGTTGGGATTTCCGACCACACTACATTTATTCACGGAAAACGAAACACAGTAAGTTTAACGCCTGTTGCGTATACGAGCTGTTTAAAATATTGAACATAACTAGAACAATGTGATATGTTGTGAAGATTATAAAGTGCAAGCGACTGAGTTCAATCAGACACTTATGATTGATTACAGTGAGTTTAATTAATTTACGGAGGGGTTCAGAAAGAACGACAAACTATTCAAGTAACTGAGAGAGACACGGATAAAGGGTGAATGAGTAAACTAATCATGAATATATTTTGAGTATCTTCTCACAACAGCTGTTGTAACTACAGATCTAGATCTGTAGTTACATCTCCAGAAGCTTGTAACAATCAGATTCTGGGCTTCAGACGGTTTTTTCTAGGAAGCTATGTATTCTGAACAGGTTTTAAACCGAGACTGGTCTCGTGAACAAACACTATTTCCTGACAAAATACCGCTTAGTATTTCAGTCTTCAGTAATAAGGATAGGAGGTCTAGTGACCTATTTTAATCCTTGCAGTTTATTACACTGTGGAGGTCCAACAATTGGTTCATACACCTGCTGTTCCTTCTGGATCTTGGAGCCCATGTGCACCATTGGTTTGAAATCAGGATTTTACAACTCCTCTGGGTGGAAAATTTCTGTCTATTAAATCGGTTAAAGCGTCAGTCATTCGCTTTTCGTCCCCTCAATTTCTTAAACAACACCGCTGCGAGAAGGTAATGAGTAGGACTTCTGTGGCAGTGGATGTACACGCGTGGCCACGTGATAGGACTTTGAGAGAGAGAGAACGGACTCTTCCCACCCTCGACCGTACCAGAGCACTTGGTGGGTGAAGTGTCAAAATCCCCACATATATTCAGCATATGCGTTCAACTTAACTCAATCGCATAAGTATTTTCAAAAGATCTTCGGTAAAATGATGAGCTCTATGTGAATTTGGTGGTAAGCTGATTCGCCATAGAATAAGTACCACAAATTTTAAATGTGTCAATAATAGTGGTAATCGTTGGATGGTAGTCTTACGGTACAACAATCCAAACGCAAAATGATATCTTTTATTGAGGGGGACAAATTTTGAACTTATTAACTGATGAAGTTAAATGCCAAAATCATGTCAGCGTATCCAGACAATACAAAGCTTCTGTTGGAGGCTGAAAGTGAGCCCCAATTTTGATTTCACTTATCTAAATCTTGTCTGAGTTACTATTTTTGCTTGGGGGACATTAATATGAATTTAGAATAGCCTCCGATCATCTCACTGAGTTGAACATTACCTTAACAAAATTTTTGAAAACAAGACTGTTTAAAGTTTGCTTTGCGAGTCAGAACTAAAATATTTTATTCATAATTGTTTATGGCAATGCTGTTCATTATTTGTTCATTGAATTGTTAGTAGGAGAAAAAAAGTTATAATTTTGTTGTGGCTGACTGTCTGCATTAAAATTTTTAATAACTTAGCAAATGATTGTCGATGAAACATTTGGTAAGTTTGTGTCGCCTGGTGAACAAGTGAATAATTTAAAGTCATTTCATCGGGGGTATTTATTCCTTTTGTATGACAATAAATCATCCAACTCTATAGGCATTGTTTGATAAATAGCTTGTAAATAAATTAACGTGGTTGTGTTTTTTTACATACGAGCAATAGTCTAGCCTTATTGTTAAATTAATCCATTTGAGGTTTTGTTCTGTGGATGAACCAGCTAGGTATGAATCAACCAATAGTCAACTTAGTACAAATAGTTAATAACCTTCTGTACCTAATTTCTCTTTTCAGAAATTTATTATACATTTGAAAGCAAACAACCGGGAATGGTCTGTAACTCGTTATTACACCGAATTTCATGCAGTCTATACGAAAGTGAGTAACGTTTTACTTTAAAAATATCATTACCGCGTGAAGTTAAAAGAATCAGAAGATTGTACAGGGTTACAATTGCCAGGAAATAACCTACTAAGTGTGTTTACAAATCGACGTAAAGGTTTGTGTAATTTTGTTAAAAAACTTGTATCCACTGATTTGTTGATTAAAAAGTAAGATAAAATACTTATATTTCTTTATTCAACTAACTCCCTTTTCTTTCATCAAAAGTGAAAATGTACAACTATTTCTTGATCTTAATAAAAACAAAGAATTATCTAATTTAGCGTCATCTCAGGATACAGTACGTAATAAATTCTTTCTCTATGAATATATGATATTTGATATACTTTTATTCAATCGTTTATAGGATTTAATTGATCTTGGGCCAACAGAGGATAAAAAGTAGGTTTTCTTAACAAATTTTAATTTCGTAACAAATGTCTCTTATCATGTAGAGCATCCTTAGATGACTTTGAAATTGTCAAAACTATTGGTGAAGGAAATTTCGGAAAGGTATGATATATATATACGGCAAATAAATGCCATTTTGTTATTCAACTTAAATAAGTCAGCTTGCATAAAATTTAATTTCCCTACGTTGTTTTAATCAAATGCGTTACCCAAAAGTTAAGCATCAAATATAACTTGTTTAACCAAAGCACGTTACATTTACACTATGCTACACTTTATCTAGTGACGATATCCATCAGTAATCAGTAGTTTTGTGTACATGATAAGATAGTACCAGTATGCCGTATATTTCTATCTGTAGATCAGCGTTCCGTATGTTTTACATTCGTCAGCAGACACTGCTTATTTTTCTTGTATTCGATTATGTACCTAGCCCCATCACAGCAATAATGAACCCTGACGTATGCTATTGCTACCATGGTCAGCTGTTATAAGTAATGATTTCGTACACCAATACGCCTTAACTCTGTCCATTAATAGATTCATTGTGATCATCAATTTTAATGGTAATGCTTCAGTATACATTGTTTTTGAGTGTGTCGATAAACAATATTGATGATTTATGCTAATAGATTTCACTCTATCCAGATAGTTAAAACAATTTGTCATGCAGGAATATATATAGGAATCTGGAATCGGAACTATCTACATTTACATCTTAGAACTAATTATAAAATAAAATAAAACAATAGGCAAAATTAAAACAACAATAATCTGTGAAGATGGTCGAGTGATAGAAAAATTAATCATGGTCGATATCTTTCAACAAATTTAATGGCAGATATCAATCATAATGTTCTTCATTTATTCAGTTTTCTGTTCAGACAAAAGCAAAGCAAAACCCGGAAAATATTAGCTTAAGTTCAAGCTACCACACCAGTTCAGCACAGCAGGGCAAAATTATTAAGATAAGCGTATGTTTAGTAGAAGTAGTAGTAGAAAACACAGCGTGGAAAATATAATTGGATTTCAAGTCCTCACTACTTATGAACTGCATATTAGGGCAAAATAGCTGTTCAGTACTTCCAAAGTTCAATAAACGTTTTGGTAAGGTCACTTCATGATGTAATTTGAAAATTCAACAATTAACATAAGACTGCTAGCCATTATCCATCTGTGCTAATAAAACTTGTGACTTAAGGAAAAGGCAAGATAATCCACTATGAATGCACATATACTGTAGAAGACTGTTCAAGCGCGATTCTGTACATCAATAGAAAGATGCGAAGAACCAGTACAAATAAAACCATTATATTAGCAATATGATTTAAATGTATAGATTATTTGTCAAGTGCGATTAGTTCCGTTCACGAATTTAAATAAGGCCAGAAAGAACATGGGTACAGAATAATATGGATTCATCATATTTCGTGGTTTCTCATCAGCTGCTTACAACCAAATATGCGTTAAAATTTACATTGAGGTAAGATATAATGTGAAACAATCGACATAAGTGAATGAAAAGAATTGGAATGACAAAGGTTATCAATAATAACTATATATATATATATATATATATATATACATCCTGGATTTAAAAAACTGATAAGATGGGTTGCGTAATAATTGGACAGGATTTGAAGAGTTCACATAACTTAAGAGAATTGAGTGAGTGGAAATGTATGGGTGAAGGGGTGGTTTAAATGTACACAAAATAAAAACTCGATAATGGAAGAGCAATACAACAAACGAAACATTAATAAAATAAAACTAATGACCCAAAAATTTAATTACCAATGTAGTAATAGGTTTATTGCTGTCTCTTTTTGAATACATAGATCAGGTTTGAGTATTTTATCGCAATTGCTTCAGAAAACCGAAGAGAAGCAATATTTCTTTGTCTGATAATAATTTTGAAAGCTTGAGGAATGTCAATGATATGCTCAGTGTCAAGTAAATGCCCAGCTATTGCACCGATGAGAGCCCTTGGCCCTCGCAGTCTCAATTTCTTTTGAACATGCTAAGAAATGCGAACATTTACTCTCCTCCTAGTTCTTCCAATATATGTGAGTGATTTGGTCATAGATGATATTGGTCTTGTCGAGACGATGGGTTTGTGTGTTTTAGGTAGGCCGTATAAGTAAGATAAGGATTCCATTGTAGCCATTCTAAACAGAGATGAATACATTAGCAAAGTAATGTTTATTTTAAATGATTTCATGAGATTTATCATCTATAATACACGGAAAGACCTAAAAGATGCGACTGAGAGAACTCTTGGAGAAAAGTCTATTAGATCATCATACATAAAATGAACTGAAATCAAAGGGATCACAATTACTTTACTTATACGGCCTACCTAAAACACACAAACCCATCGTCTCGACAAGACCAATATCATCTATGACCAAATCACTCACATATATTGGAAGAACTAGGAGGAGAGTAAATGTTCGCATTTCTTAGCATGTTCAAAAGAAATTGAGACTGCGAGGGCCAAGGGCTCTCATCGGTGCAATAGCTGGGCATTTACTTGACACTGAGCATATCATTGACATTCCTCAAGCTTTCAAAATTATTATCAGACAAAGAAATATTGCTTCTCTTCGGTTTTCTGAAGCAATTGCGATAAAATACTCAAACCTGATCTATGTATTCAAAAAGAGACAGCAATAAACCTATTACTACATTGGTAATTAAATTTTTGGGTCATTAGTTTTATTTTATTAATGTTTCGTTTGTTGTATTGCTCTTCCATTATCGAGTTTTTATTTTGTGTACATTTAAACCACCCCTTCACCCATACATTTCCACTCACTCAATTCTCTTAAGTTATGTGAACTCTTCAAATCCTGTCCAATTATTACGCAACCCATCTTATCAGTTTTTTAAATCCAGGATGTATATATATATATATATATATATATATAGTTATTATTGATAACCTTTGTCATTCCAATTCTTTTCATTCACTTATGTCGATTGTTTCACATTATATCTTACCTCAATGTAAATTTTAACGCATATTTGGTTGTAAGCAGCTGATGAGAAACCACGAAATATGATGAATCCATATTATTCTGTACCCATGTTCGTTCTGGATTCATTTGCTATATCCCGACGAAGATTTTGAACGGTAGCTGTTAGGATCTATTTATGGACTAATACTATACATATGTTCTTATTGTATAATTATTAGGTGAACAGACTACGTATATTCATTTTCTTGTTACAGCTTTTTTTGACCTATGGAGTATTATTATACGATTTACCGTTCTTGAGGTATGCTCAGTCTATAAATTACCGTCTCCAACATTCACAGCCGCTTTTGGCTGAGTCTTGTACAAATGTTATTTTCTATCTTATGGTGTGATCTCTGTTTAATTTGTATATAAACGCAGTATGTTTGAAATGCATGATTCATGTCGCGGAGTCTGAGATTTGTGTCCTGGATTAACCAGGCTAGGCTAGGCAGGAAGAAGGACCGATAAAGAATATAGGCTGCTTGTACGGGTTTTATGCATTATTGGTCCGATTGACGAGTCACTGTTCTCTAATTGGCGGTATCTTTACGTTATATAATCATTAGGACACAAGGCCACAAGTTATAACAGTATTTTATCAAGATATCTATACTTGTTCATTAAAAAAATAATTTTTCAGTATAATATATTCATCAAAACTATAATATCAAAATAGTATTTGGTATTTTCATATATCTATGTATAACTTTTTGAACAAATCTTTTATTTGAAAAAAACATATTTGAAGGTTTATTTAGCTGTTTCACGTAAAACCAATCAAGCATTAGCAATAAAAGTGCTTAAAAAAGATGCAGTTAAACAGCGTAAAGAAGTTGATAATGTCATGTCTGAACGTAATGTGTTAGTTAAAAGTTTGAATCATCCATTTCTGTGTAAACTACACTTTTCATTTCAAAGTACAACTAAATTGTACTTTGTATTGGATTATATCAATGGTGGAGAGGTAAGTATAACATATTATTATCATTATTACTAATGTAAATACAATTTGATAACGATTGTCTTGATTTTAAACATAGGTTCAATTTTCAATTGTGTGTATATTTTAAGAAGTAATAATGTAGTCACAAATTATCTAACTATACATGTATATTATTTAATTATCTAATACAGATACACGCAAAGATGATAATCGTAGTTTAATTAATACAAAGTAATTCAGTTCGATTGGTTGATTTATTTACAATTTGTACTGTGAATATACAATAAAATACTTAGCTACATTAGACACTGTTTCAGTTATTTATAACTGTTAGATACAAATAACTTTCAACATTATGTGGAATAGAAATGAGAATAGTATTTTACTCTTTTTCCCTTATGTTTAGAATTTTGAGAAAGATAAATCAATACATCTTTTCTGCGTGTAACAAACGCTACATCGTTGTGTTTTCTCGTTGTTAGATGATTGCGTTTTATGATTTGTTTTTGATGGAGTTTTGTTCTCTGTGCTGGACGGTTTGGTCGTGGAACTTTCATCGTTCCTCTGAACCACATCATCAGCACAAACTTCAGGTAGAAGTTTATAGTGGATATTTTGTGACGAATTCTTCAAGGCTATTAGAATGATTCTTCGGGACTATAAGCAATACTACACTTTCCAATTATCAAATGCATTTAAAAAACATCAAACTTTGACAGATTAAAAATGATGGCAACTATTTATTTTGACTATATTTTGACAACTGTTTGCTCCTGGGAAGCACCAATGTCACGCCTAAAGAAATTCACCGTTAGGTTTGAAAATTCTAGTTCTCCACCCAACGACAGTCTTCTGAGAGTCTCTCGAGAAGACCACTGTCTCTTCTAGAGTACATTTCTTTACTTCGGTCCTTCCCTGGTGCAAAATGTGACCCATAAGAAAGATGTTCGCGCTACAGTTGCTTGAGACAATATGAAAACTTTTGTAAAACAGAAGTGATGTATATGAGTAACCTTAACCGAAACGTGATAATGCTCAAAAATCGATCCCAGAAGACTCCAAAATGGCGGATACCCTTTGAACTAGTCTGATGAAACGTTCATTTTGAACCGATTGATCAGGCTTTCAACAATCGTTAACTAAAGTGGTTGGGGGATATGTTACAAGTATACAGCGCACATCAGCCCCAATACTGGTCAAAATGTGAGTGGTGGACAAACTTATATGGGATTAGTTCGTTAAGCTACTGCCTGTTGAACTAAACCATATTGAAGGGTGCCAACGTCCCAATTAGGATTTGCAAAATAAATTATGAATTTAGGTACCAACATTGATCAATATCCATAGAAATGTGTTCACTCTTTGTCTTGGTTTAAGCCTTAAGTTTATTATTGTTCATACTTCACATTCCTTGTTTCGTTTGTTGACGATTTACCATATTTAGTATATTTGCTTTAATGGTGCCACAGGTATGATTACTGTAATTTTCTTTTAATGTCCTCAGTGTTTTTTCTTGGGTTGCGTTGATATGAGGAGTGGTGAATAGTACCGACGCCTATTACAATCAGGTTTTACTTTGATGATTTTTACTTCTGTCTATGATTACCTTGCCTTCGTTTTTCAGTTATCTTTTAAAATGTTGCACCTTCAATTACTTGACAATATTTCATTTGGGTCACTGAACATAAAGTTACTTCAAAGCAGTCTTCAAGATATATTTACATTATATTCAACTGGTATTTACATATTATGGTTTCTAAGAATTTTCCTAGTTTGCAAACGCAAAACAGAGAACTTGAATTACAAAACCAGGTATATCTTCAGCATTATCATTTTCATATCGTGCAATCACAAATACAAATATTACACTTATTGGACAGACAAAAAGATGAGAAAATCGAAAGGAACATTAGGTGAATTCTGGTCAACATTGTTCTATCTTTCCCTCTCGTGGATTACTGAGACACCAGTGATATGCAATAATGTTTTAATAATACTAATTTTGTCTGAAAATATACCATGTTACTAGTTTTATTGGTTAAATGTTGTTGAACAAATGATGTTTTATCTGCAGTTCTTTTACCGAATTAAGCTGAGAGGTATAGATATTGGGTTTTTGATATCAATATAAGAAGTTTATGGTTCAAAAATCAACTCCAAGATTCAAGTACATCCAGTTGGTAAGTTCTAAGTGGGAATAAACACATATCATCAATTCTGGTGTTAGCCAAAATCCATCTGCTCTATGAAGCTTGTGAACAATGGCTATATGAAAGCAGTTCGTTCAGGATGCCCACATACCAACTAAAATTCATCAAGATTCAGTCCTGAATATTGACAGCAAAATAATTCAAATTATTCATTGTAATAATTTAAAGGCTTAATGTTAATAAATAATATAAATACGGGGTATTTTTAAATAAGATTTTACAGCTAAACATCAACACATTGAAGACTAATTTCTTGGCTTTAATCTTCGTTCTCAGTAAAAACAAAACATTGAGAGCGGAAAATAAAAAGGTCACACAAATAGTCATAGTTAAAAGTAAAAAAAAAGTACGTATCTACATATAATCACCAAGTTACTTTAATGAAAACAAAGTGTTAATAGATTAACATTCTAACAGAAATTTACTTCCTACTTAAACCAAAATATTGTCTTTTTTTACATATTTTTAATAGTTATTTTATCATATTCAACGTGAACGAGTGTTTACTGAAACACGAACACGATTTTATGCAGCACAAATCGCCTCTGCTTTAGGTTATTTGCATTCAGAGAATATAATTTATCGGTAAGTTCTATTCATTTTATCACATAACTAACTACTACTAGTATTAACGGATTGATTTTAAATGACCAGTTTAAAAACAAATTATCATCTAAACCAAATACAATTTACCTTCGTACTGTGTACAGTATTCCACTTCGATAACAAGGAACACTATAAATGAATGACTAAAATTTGAACTGGTTTGTTATACTTAGAGAAATCAAATATAAAAATATATACAATAATAATTTATAGCGCAATGCTAGTAAAGTATGTAGTATGTGGGTTGAAAGTTGACAGGAATTTCAGTTATATTTGTAGCCGTACAGCTGTAATCCGTGTCATGCTTTTTAGCTATGTTCAGGCACAATGACAATATGACAACGTAAACAACGTCATTGCATTCTGTTATATAATTTATGGTGTTAATAGTGTATTAGGGTGAATAGTGTACACACATAATATAATTGAAACATATTTTGAATGTATCTATTACAAATTATGTACCGAATGTAAATAACTGATCGAATTCACTCCTTACATTTATGTTATTTTTTCATGTTATGAAGTCGTTCGTATTGTTCTGTCATTTGAAATTTCCCAAAAACCTACACTCACAATCATGGATACCATTCCATTACACTTTCCATAAATATGTAACTTATCAGTGTTTAAAGCGGTTTCTGTGACACATAAAATAAACTGAGGAGATTTGCTGGTAGTCATGTGTGAGTTGGATATTTATCTTACCAAAACTTGCAAATTTCTCATCACTATACTGAAGGGTGAGAACAAACACAACCTTTATAGTTTACAATATTGACATTTTATTTTCAACCATTGAAAAACAATACAACTTTTGACAACCCTTATTTGTGTCATACTTACTAACTTACACCTGTTACCCCTTGTGGAGGAACATAGGCCGCCCACCAGCATTTTTCATCTAACTCTGTCCTGGACAATCCTTTCCAGTCGCTATTCATACTTTTGATATCTGCTTTTAACTTTCTGCGGAGTGTGTTTTTTTGTCTTCCTCTTATTCATTTTCCTTCAGTGTTATAATTGTATTTTGCTATATAAACGACCCAGCTATTCCTATTGCTTAGTATTCTTATACGATGACACTCGACAAGACCCCAAAATCAGAACACTTTGAACAGGAATGAAATTGTATTCAAAATAACAATGGTATGTGAACAGCAATCACTGATTTGAATAACGTTCATATATTTATAGTATATACATAAGAAGCTTCTAGATTTTTCTCCAGTAATTTACCAGGACTGATTGGTTTAGAATTAGGTAATCAGCGCGTAGCAACACCATCATGCATGAAACATGCTTTAATCCAATCTATGTCCCACTAACACCTCCCTCTTGAGCAGATTCGTAGGATCTGGTGCTGGTGTCCAACTGCAACCGCTTTACTGGTTTGTGATTCCGGTTAATCTACCTTCTAGGTAATAAAGAAGTTGTATCACTCTTTGCTTGCACAGAAACTGACCTGTCTGTTCCGGGCGTTTTGATTTCAAAGGTGCCTAGCAGAATGTCAAGAGGTATTCGATGTCAATTCTCGCTGCTGGCTATCGAAGTTGCTTTCAGTTGGTTAGCATGACGTATCCAAATTTCTGAGCCAACTGACACCTCGTAAACCACATTTCCTTTCTTTTGAACGATCCGACCAGCTACCCATGTAGGGTGTTTTCCTCGATAGTTCATAGCAAGTACCTTTTGACCCACACTGAACAATCGTTTTTGTGCCCCATGATGACTATTGTACTGTTTCTCCATCATCACGTTTCGTTGCGGCTTAAGAGCTGGAGTCGGACGAATGCTGTCAAAATGTGTACGTATTTTTCTGCCAAGTAACGCTTCCGCTGGGGAGACTTCATTCGTTGTCTGAGGGTTCGGTGTCGAACGGTAGATAAACAAGAACCTCTCTAAGATCTCTTCGGTGTCCCCCTCCCCTCTTGATTTTTTAGAGCATTTTTGAACGTACCAACAAAACGTTCTACCTGGCCATTTGATTGCGGGTGGAATGGAGGTGTTCGGATATGCCTGATTCCGTTCTGCTGACAAAATTCTGAAAAGATAGATGATGTAAACTGTGTGCCGTTGTCGCTGACTTTTTGTTCTGGAACCCCGAAACGACTGAATAATTGTCGCAGTTTTCTAACTGTGCAGCTTACTGTTGGATGTTCCATGATGAAAATTTCCGGCCACTTGCTGTATGCGTCCACTACCAGAAGGTAAGTTTGTCCATGGAATGGACCAGCGAAGTCTAAATGTATACGCTGCCACGGTGACTGGTATCGGCCATGACTGCAACTCTGCTTTTCATGGTGCTTTTGCTGCCAATGCACATTTTGTACACGAACGGGATAGCTGCTCGAGTTGAGTATCTAATTGTGGCCAGTGTACATAACTTCGTGCTAGAGCTTTCATGCGGTTTATTCCGGGATGTCCTGCATGTAGCTGTTCGAGAACTGCTGGTTGCAACTTCTTCGGAATTATGACACGTTCAGCAAACATGAGACAATCGTCGATGATTGAAAGAGATAGTCTACGCTGATAAAACTGCTGAAGCTCTGTTGAACTGATCTTCGAGGGCCACCCTTCTAGGTGGAACTTTCTAACTTCTTGTAGAACAGGGTCTCGAAGAGTCTCTTTTCTGACTTCATCTGACGACACTGGAGTGTTTTGAATTGCCGCTGTTACTACACTCCGTATTTCTGGAACCTTTTCACCTGTCTTTCTTGCATGTGAAGTGGTGTCTGATGATGGACACGACACGTTGCAAACGCTGTTGAAGGGTATATCCATTATTTCAAGTTTTTCTAACATCTCTAGACCAAGAAGATCAAGGTTTGGTCGTTCTGTTAGATAGCATACTCCTTTACAGCTATTTCCATTGAAGGAAAATTCACATTGTGACTCACCAACTAGTTTTAGTACACCTCCAGATGCGTTTTTAGCCGTTTTCTTGGATGGCTTCATTGGCGGCTTTCCCAGCAAGTTATACGTTTCTCTGGATACTAGGGTGATATCTGATGCCGTGTCAATTTGAAGACGAGCTAAAATGCCGTTTATCTGGATAGTAACGTACTTTCTCCGAATGTCATAGTCTGTTTGAAAAGCTGCTACCAGAGAAAGAGATTTAGACTCAGATAATTTTTGCCACACGTGGAGGACGTTTATACTTCTTCTTGGGCTGGGACGTACGATTCGGCGGACAATGGCCTTCTTTATGTCCATGTCTGTTGCACACCTGACATTTATGCTTCTTAAATGGACAAAACCGTACATAATGCCAATCGTTCTTTGAAGTGTTCTACCCACCTGTTTCGTTGTTCTTCAATGTTGGTGTTTACCTTGCCTTCGTTGCTTTTCACTGGTCTTTCTGGCTTACGGTAATTTCCAGCGAGTTTCTTTGTTGTATCATACAATTTTCCCATATTTCCTTCTCTTGCAGCCTTTTAGGCATCGACTCAATTTTCATTCGATTCAATAAAACTCTGTTGAAAGCGTTTCCTTGTGCCGATAGCAGTGTGATACCTCTACAGCTGATTTCTCATACTGGCTGAGATCTCCTTTCTTTGATTTATTGACGATGTATCCTTCTTCTCAGTCTGTTGTCATTTGTTCTTCCTCCCAAATATTTTTGAACAGAACATGGAGTATCTTCGGAGTCACCTTTCTATCTGACTACAGTGGTTCATGTGTTATGTTGTCAGGATTTGCAGCTTTCCCACTCTTGATTTGTCTTAATTTGTTCTGCCTCGGTGGTCGATGAGTTCAGTGGGAATGGTCTATTCAAGAGTTTCTCGAAGTATTCTACCCATCTGTCCTTCTGTTCTTGAATCTCCATGATTGTCTTGCCTTCTTTGTCCTTGACTGGCCTCTTTGGTTTACTATATTCCTCTGCTAGTTTCTTTGTTGTGTCATATAGTTGTTTCATGTTTCTCCCTCTTGCAGTTTTTCCGCTCTTCCTACCAGGTCTTTTATATATTTCTGGTCGTCTGCTCTTGTGCTCCTCTTCACTTGCCTGTTTGCTTCTGTGTATTCAGTTTGTACCTTGACTTTCTCCGTTCTTGTTCAGCTGTTGTTAGTTGCTATCTTCTTGTTCTTCCTTTCTTGAATTCTGTCCAGGATTTCGAGAAATATCCATCATTTATGATGACGCTTCTTGTGACTTAGCACCTGACATATTGGAGTTAATGCTTCTTTGATCCTTTTCCAGTTTATTTTATTTCATTTAAACACATAAATATTGGTACCAAGGGGCACCAGATATATATGCGCCACACAAATCTCGTTTGATTTGTGTGAGGGCTGTGATACTGCCCAGGTGCCCAAACCGAAGCAGGTGGTTTTCTTAGGGAACCACACCTGGGGCCTTTGGCCTAAAAGTCTGATCGACAAGGCACTGAAGCATAGTGAGGAGGTGCAGTCCCATGGTAGCTGGTGACCAACTATTGATTCATACACTATTTGTTTCCTCAGGATACTGTAGCCCATGAGCACCATTGGTTTGGAATCAGGGCTTTCCAACTCCCCTAGGTGGACTATCCGTGTCCACCAACCCGGTTAAAGCGCCGGACATTCGCCTTTCGTCCTCTCGATTTCGTAAACAACAGTAATGCCACGAGAAGGCAATTAGTAGGACTTTCCTGGCAGAGGCTATATATTCGCCTGGCCATGTGAGGGCATTTCGAGAGGGAGAGTGGACTCTTCCCACTCTCGGCCGTACCAGGGAATCCGGGGGCAGTTGTCCTCCATAGCAGTGTCTTCTTCTTCCAGTAGATTTTGTAAGTCTTGGAACCTGTTGTTGAGAGTTATCTTGAATCCGTTGAGTTTGTTAGTATCTCTAAGGAAGGCTATATTGAACCTTTGAAATGCTGTTTTTTCGATTGTCCCGTGTTTCTTTAGCTTCAGTTTCATCTTGGCAGCCACAACCAGATCTGAGGCTATGTCAGCTCCTCTCCTGGTTCTCACATCTTCCATTGTCCTTCGGAATTTTTTGTTGATACGAATATAATCTATCTGCTTCTCTGTGGTGTGATCCTGTGAGACCCGTGTAATTTTGTGTATGCGTTTGTGGGGGAATATAGTGCCATTTATAACCAATTTGTTTAATGAACATATATTTGAAAATATCACAACATTCTCGTTCTTTTCTCCCAGTCAATCCATGTTGTCCTATGATATCCTCATACACGGAGTTGTCCATTCCGACTTTGGTACTTCGCTTAGTTTAGTACTTCGCTAATATCGATTGCAGCCTCTCATAAAACTGATATTTGTCGTCGTCATTGCTATCATTTGTGGGTGCATAACATTGAATAATATTCATTGTGATCCCCATCTTCTTTGTTTTGAAGGATACTTTGATGATCCTGTGTCCATGAGATTCCCACCCAATAAGTGCATTTCGTACTTCTTTGGACAGCATCAAAGCAACTCCCTGAGCATGTAAAACATTTTATTCTTCGTGACTAGAGTACAACAGCATCTCTTCCGTATCTAATCTTTTCTGTCCAGTTTGGGTCCTATGGGTTCCACTGATTCCGAGCTCTGCCTAGTTGTATCTCCTCATTTCCTTAGCTATTTGATTGGTCTTCCGGGTTTCCCACATTGTTCGAACATTCCATGTACCTATATTAATTGTTACTCTGGTTGTTAGCAGGGGCATTGGCTTCGTGACTTCCGAAGAATCGCGGCTTTCATCATGATGCATCGTAATTCTTCCTTCAACTCCCAGAGTTTGAGACCTTGCTGGTGATTAACATGTGCTTATGTTGATTGTGTTTAATATTTTTGAGAAATAGGAAGAAAAATATTGGTTACTGTGTCTATATTATCTTATCTAACTGTGCATAAGAACTATTCTCATCTGATAAATGTATGACTTTATTGATAAACATTAATCTTTTGTTATTGACTTGTATCAGAAAAAAACTATTTCACAATTTTTTTGATTATTTAAAAGTGATTTAAAACCTGAAAATATACTTCTTGATAGTAAGGTAAGTAGAATTCGTGTGTCTCCCAGCTTTCTCAAATGAATATTTCACTCCCACCTTGCTAACATGGTCATTTTAAAAGTTCTTTTGCCGACAACTTCTCATGATAATCACTCAAAGTGCGTGATAGATTAAATGATTTTTTTGTTTGATTATAGGCTCAATTGGTTGATAATTATGGATATAACTAAAACATAATAATCATCTAAATAAAATGTTATGATTCTGGTTTTTATCGACTTGTATGAATATTATCTCAATCACTGTTTTATACATCAGTGTTTGTTGACACTAATTAATGTATTTTTTCGATTCAATCCAATTTCCTACAACAATGACCATAAAGTTTTACAGAACAAGATAATTTCATTTAGATAAAAATTAACCACCAGGTAGTACCGGATCGTTATGTCATCCTAATCTAGGACTGAATATCAGTACACATCCACGACCCTACGAAGGATCAAACCCATGACTTTTTGATCAGTAATTTGGTATCCGACGGTTTTCATCTCTAACTTCTGTTGATTCATAATATTGAGTGACCATCATCTATCGGGTTGAGGCCTGGAATTACTGGATTCCATCCTTAGTGAGTTCGTGGATGCTTTCTGGGGAAAGTCTCACATGATGTTGAGACATATATCTTTTGCTTCCTAGTTTTAAGTGGTTGTAAAACTATTGGCCATTCGAGGTTTTAATCTATAAAATACAAAAAATTTCACAATTCTTCTACACAAACGTTGATTATTTGTATAAGTATTTGGTTTTGAAAAAAGGTTTATTAGTTGTGTTTTTCGTCATTTGTACCGTTCTACTTTACAAACAGAGGTTATGATTTTCTGTAACAATAGAAGTCGACAATTAAAAGAGTCCCAAACTTTTGCTTAAATACGTAATCTGATACGTAATATTGATACTTTAGCCCTTTGCTGACCAGGATACGGCTACAACGTAGAAGATGAGTTGGAGTATGTAATGCAATTCTGAAGCACTTCAGTCGAAGAAGGATTACATCCTTGTTAACCAATTTACCATCTTTAGTTAATTCTCTAGACCCAACCTTACCACTACTCAATGACACTTCAAACACACACCGACAATGATTTTAATAAACCTATGATCAAGTAATAGCAACATACCTTTGTCTCTTACCTTTTAAAACATATTTCATTGTCGTAAAGTGATATAAAGCATACTAGTGCGTAGTATTGTGATGTATTCTACTTATACTAGTAAATATAAGTAGTATGTAGCCTCAACCGGAATTTGGATGGCTTGCAGCAGAAAATTGAGTTGAGGAGAACAGAAAGGAAGTCGGAAAAGAATCAAAATCGCAACAGAATTATAGAAATAATGGAATATGTAAAGAACAACTCAATAAAGATGTGCAAATTATGTATTTGATGTATGATTTCCATATTTTACAAAGCCACTGCTTAATTTCGCCTTAAACAATAGATTGGTTTCCCGCACCTGAGTTTTCGCTCATTACAGTATAATCACCATTTGGTAGGCTGATGATCTTGTCAGTCTTAAAAAGACATCCGAAATACTGAAAGTGTTCAAGAGGATCGGATGTTTTATTTTGTATATTAAGGACTTGGTATGATTTAGACCAGTTTTGAAGAGATTTAAACTTAAAGGAAATTCATCATCAGAAATCCATATATAGATATACCTTGATCTTTGTGTTTATCATTAACGAATTCTGAAGTTTAAAGAATTTAAAATCTACAATGAGATCAGAATTTATGTGAGTCGAATTACTTCGCTGTTAAAAAATGCAGGTTCATATCTTTTAGCCTATACATAATTTGATATTTATGGTTTTAAATATTGTTTTCCCTTTTGACTAACATACGAAACTTAACAATCGATTGAATTACCATCTACTGACCTCTTCTTGTATTAATCGACGTGAAACCATGTTTTTCTATGTTCAAAATATATACTTCATTGAAAACTATTAGCCCTTTTTATCATTAACTTCTTAGTTTGATTTTATCTAAGGAATAATCATTTTCTAAAATTTTTATTTAAGGGATATGCAATCCTAACAGATTTTGGTTTATGTAAACAAAATTCTGCCAGTCAATCGACTACACTAACGTTTTGTGGCACTCCTGAAGTAAGTTTATATACACATAAACTAAAGTTTATTAAGATTTTATTTATATATGGGATGAGGAGTTGAAAGTCGAATCATTCGCTTTCCAACTATCAGTTAGCTGGTCAGAATTTTGCTTTATCCATTTCGGTCAGCAGAGTAGGGGTAGTTTAAACCTGAATATATAAAGTTCAGTCTTGGATACTAGATAACTTTATGAAAAACATCAATAGTGTTCGAATATAATAGGTTTATATATTTAGGTCATATTGATTTTAATGCATCGACAGTCGACGTAAATTACAGGAACTATGGTTGCTTGCTTTCTCTGTACTTAAATTTATCCTCTCATATCTTTCACATGTATTTCCGTTAAGTTCTAGAGCTTCCACTTAATTGCTTGTTGAGATTTGTTATTACTTGAACAGATACATCGTTATAACATGTTCCAAATAATATGGTAATATAGTTTATATGTCAGTGTCCATATTCTGAAGAAAACTTAATTTTCAAATTATACTGAATAATAAACAATAGACCAACTCGAGAGGTTAATAATTCGAATTAGTCACGTCCGTGTTGATGTTAACTAGAAATTCCTAGTTCTCACAAAAAGTACTGAGCCCTCTACCTGGTAGATAAACTTAACCATAAAAGTTTAGATTTTTTCGGTGAGATGAAGTCAGAAGAATTTCTTTGAAAGTAAATTGAGATAGAACAGAACACAAGACGAATAACTACAAATGCTTCAAACTCAATATTTCAGTTGTCAACAAATCATGAAAAAGAACAAGAGTTCAACATCCTTAGTTTGTTCGCCTCTTAATTTAAGTGCTCAAGAATGCATTTACATTCATGAGATTTCCAAAACAAGCTATTCAGATTGATTGATGGGGAATGAACTCACTAATGATTCGAACTTTGAAAGTTATTGCTTTTAAACAGATAGTCAAGCTACTGAAATAATCTTTTAACCAATAAAATGATGAAAACGTTTTGTTAATATTATCTAAATTCTAAATAAAAAACTTTACTTTCAAACTGAATTTCGTATGTTTAATTCATGAACTACTGTTGAAGTATCATAGAATTCTGGCCTCAGTGGCAAAGCCTAAACTTGAAAGTTATATAATAAATATCCAACAATCAGGTTTATAACTACCGTAGTCTTCCATTATCTATCGTTCAAATATGAATAGCTATTGGGTCCGGAATTCTATGGTACTGCTTCAAAAACAGCCTGTATGAACTGATTTTGCTAACTATTGAATGATATGTGGTGTATGATTTTTTTAAAAACGGTTAAAATTGAAATTCGTCGATATTATTTTCATACCAAATTTCTCTTGTGGTGTGTTTGATAGTTTTATGTAGTCGTGATACGGCATTCATTATAATTGTATTGTCCCGGGTAGATAATCAGCTGTTTAGATTATTACAGTCATTACATTGAATTTTCGAATGACTTAGTACTTGTTCTCCATTTTAATTATCTGGTTTGTTTTAATAATTGTGGACATTAATAATGATCTTTCATTGATATAACCTGTGATTTGTGCTCCGAGGGAATATGATACAAAACGAACGAATATTCCAAACTTTCATCCATCTTATACAGGGCCAGTAATACTATCAGATAAAATGAATAAAGAACTCATATTTCTCTAAGGCTGGATTTTAAATTCATGTTATTTATATACTTGAGGTCCTTCCAACTTTATTTTTGTGGTTTGTGTTATACTGCTAAATAGTATCAAAACGCCTACGTAGTAAATTTGATGGGTTTATTGGAACAAAGCAGTCTTATCCCATTCATTTGTATTTAGTTTAGTTTCATTTATTAGAACTGTAGTTTCACTATACTTTATTTGAGATTGTTAGTTATTTGTATTGGTAGGATTGTCTGGTCTTGACGCGTAGTGTTTCTTTCTTTCATCATATCCAAATGTCACCTATTTATGTATGTATTTATATTTTTATAGTGATTTGACTTGCTGTAGAATATCTCACCATCCAATTATAGTATTTTTAAGACTAATTTCGTTTCTTAGCTATGGTTGTTAATATTAATTTATACTTTTGGTTACGATTTCTCGCTTTAATTTAAATTACATGTTGTACCATACGTGTAGACACTGTTTTTGGACCACCACTTCAGCTAACCCTCAACAAAATAATATCTTATATAACTAAGTCATTTAAATTCCTTTGTTTCCCGAAGCAGATATTACTTAAACAAATTAAGCACTGATTAGTGACCGATTCATTGTTTTTATTTCCCTTCTCGCCGAATTCATTTTTAAAGCTGTCAAATCCCAACTATATACTTATTTTTCTAAAAGATAATAATTATAATAATGGTGATAATAAAAACGTTATTATTATCAAGGGAACTAGTAATCATTTTCAGAAGGGGGTTTTGTGTAGATTTTAATGATTGTATAGTTGAAATCATGAGTCAATTGAAGCTAGACCACCATGGAAACCTGGAAGCAGAGTTCAACCAGATCTGTTGGGAGATATCAACTGACTGAAAACATTAGTGAATAGTTGCTCAATTTCGTGGATTGGTTGAAGCTAGACATTAACACCATGGGATGCCGGCTCAGTGATCTGTCGGTTAAGTGCTCGCGCGCGAGACTGATTGGTCCTGGGTTCGAATCTCTCGGGGTGGGATCTCGGATGCGCATTGCTGAGGAGTCCCATAATAGGACGATTAGACCGTTTAGTGCTTCCGTGTTTTCCATGGTGGTCTAGCTTCAATTGACTCATGATCTCAACTATATAGTAATAATTTTGTTGAAACACCATTATATGAACGGAGATAGATAAGAAAATTATAATTGGGAAGGGAAGGTTCAATGTGATAAAAAATGTTGAAACTGAGATAAACTGTAATCAGAATGATCATAAAAAGAGAAACAAAAATCAGTTGGGGTAAAGGTTCTATAGAGAATATAGAAGGGAAGCAAGAAAAGAATGAAAAAGAAAGCAAAAATTTAAGATCTATCTATCTGTCTATCCGTCTGTTTACCCATTTATTTTAATAATTGTAATCCTCATACACTTGATATATCCTACTCCCAACCAAAGGTCGCTCAATTTTACAAATGATTTTCTCCTCTGTAATATTGAAAACCATCATCTTCGTTTCGTCCACAAAGTTTGTTTTCTTTAAAATATAACTGTTACATATACGTTGAAGTAATCCTCTCCATTTAATTGTTACATTTTCTAAATAGTATTTGGCACCGGAAATTTTGCGTAAACAACCATATGATTTTGCAGTCGATTGGTGGTGTTTAGGATGTGTTATTTATGAAATGTTACATGGTCTACCTCCATTCTATTCAGAAAATCGTGCGCGTATGTATCGATATATATTGGAAAGACCTTTAAAAACACGTAATACACTTAGTTTATCAACTGAAAATATTTTATTTCGTGTAAGTTTACTTTTTAAATTTTTCTTCTTGTTGTTGCATTGTTATTATTAAATAATAAAATGCAGTAATTTTTTGAAGTTTACATTTGCACATGTGTTACTTCATATTTAAATTGCAAGTTATCCCTTGTTTAATCTGAAAAAAGCGAAATGTTATTCAGATAACTAATTATTGGGGAACAGGAGACACTAGACAATTGCTTAGTCTCTGTATGAGATTAATCAATAGTTTACATCCACGACATTATTGGGGGTTAAACTCAAAACTTTCAGGTCCCACAGAGTGCCCATACCCTTTAAACTAGTAAGCTGGCATTCAGTGGCTAACATGTGTAACACTAGTGGATTCATGATTTGGGATTTGGTTAGTGCGTCCCTCGCACCCAATATACTTGGATCCCAGTTGTGCAATCGTGGTTAAACATCGCTGGGGAGCTCCATACTATGACGAAACAGCTGTCTATTGCTTAACGGTTTTCAATGAATATTCAGCTTAGGTCAGTTCGTGATCTTGGGAACATTTAACGATATCCACAAATCTTTTATATTAAAACTATAAAATGTATTTTTTACTTTATGGTGGAATATAAGTAGTGGTTACCAAAATAAACAATAATGTGTAATCTAGATTATACAACAGAAATTCGCAGATCTGTCTGAGAGGTATATATATATATATATATATATATATATAATTTTAAGTATTTACATCGTGTATAGATATGAATCAACTTGATGGCGTAATAGAGAGGTTACAGTGTTAGACTATGTAGTGTACATAATCTCAATACGAGACTGTGAATGGAAATAAAAAGACTTGTAAAGTTAATAGGTTAATATTGGATCATGATGTGAATGCGGTAAGATAATTAAAATGTTTTATGCTACGGTAGTTAAATGTAATAGAAGGGTTGAATGAAATGAAGCGGTTATAAAAAATAATTATGAATAAAGTCATAAGGATATGAGGAATAATTAGAAAAAATTCCCATATTGTGACTTAGAACAACATATATAAGTGAGCAATATTGCTTTCGATTAGATCCTCATCAGGGTTTACTCTAATATACAGCAATATTTATATGTATATACGAAATTATTAAACCGATCAAGGCAGTTTATGATTCAGTGATAACACTGGAATAGATGACATAAATAAACATAATAAATGAAAAAAAGGGAGTGTGATGACAGGTGTACTAGCTGTGACAAGAATAATAAAGGCTTGAATCAATGTTGCATAATAGGAAATAGGTCAATGATTGGAAAATTATAGAGACTGAAATAACATTCATAAAATTATAAGATTACATCATTAGAAGTGTTCAAATAATTGGACCGTGAAGCGAATATTTGAAAAAGTAAATAAATAATTGGTAGCGGGGGTGAACAAAATAAACTATCAAAGAGTATGGAAGATAATAATAAATAAAATCATTTACTTACTTGCTTACCTACGCCTTTTACTCCCAATGGAGCATAGGCCGCCGACCAGCATTCTCCAACCCATTTTGTCCTGCGCCTTCCTTTCTAGTTCTATCCAACTTTTGTTCATTCTTCTCATGTCTGTCTATATTTCTCGGCGTAATGTGTTCTTTGGTCTTCTTCCCCTCCTTTGGCCTGGGCGATTCCATGTGAGGGCTTGCCATGTGACGCAGTTCGGTGGTTTACTCAGTTTGTATCCTATCCATTCCCAGTGCTTCTTCCTGATTTCTTCCTCCACTGGAATGTGTTTCGTTCTCTCCCACAACTGAATGTTCCGATAGTGTCTGGCCAACGTATCCGAAGTATCTTGCATAGACAACTGTTGATAAACACTTGTATCTTCTGGATATGGCCCTCGTAGTTCTGTAGGTTTCCGCCCCATACAGTAGAACTGTCTTGACATTTGTATTGAAAATTCTGATCTTGGTGTTGGCTGACAATTTTCTTGAGTTCCAGATGTTCTTCAGTTGTAAATATGCTACTCTTGCTATGTCGATCCGCGTCTGCACATTTGCATCAGATCCACCGTGTTCATCGATGATGCTGCCCAGATATGTAAAGGTTTTCACATCCTCCAAAGCTTCTCCGTCAAGTGTAATTCGATTGGTGCATCTTGTATTGTATCGGAGAGTCTTGCTTTTCCCTTTGTTTATATTGAGACCTACTGCTGCTGAGGCTGCAGCTACACTGGTCGTTTTCTCTTGCATTTGTTGTTGCGTGTGTGATAGAAGAGCCAGATCATCCGCGAAGTCTAAATCGTCCAGTTACATCCTAGCTGTCCATTGTTTCACGTGCTTCCCTCCAGATGTTGACGTCTTCATGATCCAGTCGATTACCAGGAGAAAGAGAAAGGGTGAGAGTAAGCAACCTTGCCTGACACCGGTCTTCACCTCGAATGAGTCGGTGAGTTGTCCTGCGTGAACGATTTAGCACTTTAATCCATCATAGGGATTCCGTATGCTATTGACTAACTTCTCAGGCACGCCGTAGTGTCGAAGAAGTCTCTATAATGTTGTCCTGTCGACGCTATCAAATGCCTTCTCGTAGTCAATGAAGTTGATGTATAGTGATGAATTCCATTCAATTGATTGTTTCACAATGATCCGTAGAGTTGAAATTTGGTCTGTACACGATCGATCCTTACGGAATGCAGCCTGTTGGGCGTCTACGGCGTCCTTCATTCTGTTTAACAATACCCTGTTGAAGACGTTTCCTGGTATTGAGAGAAGAGTGATGCTCCTGTAGTTGTCACATTTGCTGAGATCGCCTTTCCTTGGTATCTTGGTCAGAAGTCATTTCCAGTCTGTTGGTACTTGTTCTTCATTCCAAATCTTACTGAAGAGAGTGTGGAGTTTCTTTGCAGTTGCTGCTATATCTGCTTTCAGTGCCTCTGCCGGAATGTTGTCTGGTCCTGCTGCTTTCCCACTCTTGATCTGCCTGACGGGCATGCTGATTTCTTCAATTGTTGGTGGGCCTTCATCGACTGGGAGGTCCGTGGGTGCTGCTTCGATATTGGGTGGGTTCAGTGGAGCTGGTTCATTCAAGAGTTCTTTGAAGTGTTCTACCCACCCGTTTCGTTGTTCTTCAATGTTGGCGTTTACCTTGCCTTCGTTGCTTATCACTGGTCTTTCTGGTTTACGGTAATTTCCAGCGAGTTTCTTTGTTGTGTCATACAATTTTCCCATATTTCCTTCTCTTGAAGCCTTTTCTGCTGTCATTGCTAAATCTTCCACATATTTACGTTTGTTGGTTCTGATACTCTTGCTCACTTGCTTGTTTACTTCTGTGTATTCGGCTGGTATTGATTTCTGCCTTCTTGTTCCTCCTTTCTGCAATCTTATCCAGTGTATCAACAGTGCTCCATTCCTTGTGATGGTGCTTCTTGTGGCCCAGAACCTCATGACATGTTGAAGTAATTGCATCTTTTATCCATTTCCAATTGCTCTTCATAGTAGTTACTTCTTCATGGAGTGGATCATGAAAGACCTGGAACCTGTTTCTGAGGACTATTTTGAATTTGTTGAGTTTGTCAGCATCTCGAAGAAAAGCCGTATTAAACTTTTGTGGTTGTCCGCCCCGTTTTATAGTCCCTCTTAAGTTTTAATTTCATCTTGGCGACCAGCAAATGATGATCTGATGCTATATCAGCTTCTCTCCTGGTTCTCACGTCCTCTATCGTCCTCCTGAACTTTTTGTTGATTCAGATATGGTCGATTTGGTTCTGTGTAGTGTGATTCGGTGAAGTCCATGTGTTTTTGTGAATGCTTTCGTGTGGGAATATAGTGCCGTCTATGACCAGTTTATTGAAGGCACATAGGTTTGCAAATCTCTCACCATTTTCGTTCCTTTTTCACAGTCAGTCCACGTCGTCCAATGACGTCTTCGTATCCAGTGTTATCCATTCCAACCTTGGCACTTAAATCTCCCTTCAGGATTGTCAGGTCCTTTGTTGGGCACTTCTCGACGATCGACTTCAGCCTATCGTAGAATTGGTCTTTAACGTCTTCATTGTAGTCGTTGGTAGGTGCGTAGCATTGGATGACGTTCATTCTAATGCTCTCTTTCTTTGATTTGAAGGAGGCTTTGATGATCCTTGGCCCATGAGATTCCCATCCTATAAGTGCATTTTGTGATCATTTGGAAACCATCAATGCAACTCCTTGTGTATGTGGGGCATTTTCATCTTCATGGCCGGAATATAACAGAAGCTCACCTGAAGACATTCGGTGTTGTCCAACCTGTGTCAAATGTGTTTCACTGATCCCAAGCACCCACAGGTTGTATTTCCTCATTTATACAGCAATTTGGAAGACTCTCCCGGTTTCCCACATTGTCTGGAAGTTCCATGTACCTATAAAAATTGTTGCTCTGGTTGTTAGAAGGGATATCAGCCTCGTGACTTCCTAAGAATCTCGGGTTTCACTATGAGGTATCATAACTCTTCTCTCAACTCCCAGGGCAGAGTTTAAATGGTTTGAATTGTTTTCCTGGTTAGCGTTTTTTTGGCGAGTTAGTTTTCTACGGGATGAGGTCGCTAACCCCATGTCCAACCCACCTCCTTTACGCGGGCATGGGACCGCCAGTAGACTCTGGAGGAGCTATAGGCGGAGTTACTAAGGCCAAAAGTGTTGTGACTTCTAGCCATGCTAATTACCACTTTAAAAAAATTATGCGCATATTCGTCAAAATTAGAACGAATAGCTTGACAAAAATTGAGCGCCGAGTATAGAGAATTCATTATATGTGAAAATCATATTTGAAATAATCTCAGGGATTGAAATTTAAATAATTCCAACGTTTTGTCCAGCTAACTCGTCTGGACTTCTTCAGGGTAATAATTATTAATAATAATAATTGTTATTATTATTTCAAATATAATAATTATCACTTGATGATTTACTCGCCAGAGTTGGACTTAAAAAATTTTCGCACTGTAACAAAGCAATGACGTATTGACCGGTATGAGTAGCCTAGCGTCCTTATTGGTCCTTTTTCCTCCTAGCACTGTCTGTTGAGTCCAGAACACCAATACAAGCTTCCACTATACGAATCATTTATTTCAAACATACCTGGTTTACATACATGCCAAACAGACCACATCACACCATAAAATAGAAAATAACATTTGTACAAAATCTAGCCGAAAGCGGTTGTGATTGTGGGAGACTGTAATTAATAGACTGGGCATACCTCAAGAACAGTGAATTGCATAATAATAGTCCACAGGTCAAAAAAGCTTTTAATAAGAACATACATAATCTGTTCACCTAACAATTATGCAATAAGAACATATTAGTCCATAAATAGATCCCAACAGATACCATTCATTATTCTCGTCAGAATATAACAAAGGGAGAGATAATGGTGTTACAAATTTCTTATGAACATAAAGACTTGGATTGTTACCTCGGGTTCCTATAGCTTCTGCTATGTCTAAGAGACGAGATCGAACACAATAAGGAAAACTAGAAGGAATACAATAAATCACTGACCTATTCCTGTCTACTACATGACCGCTATCAATCAGGTGTGATAGAACAGTGCTGCGTATTGTTTTGACGTTACCCTTTCCTAACCATGAAGGGAGGTGTTCACTAACTTGTTGGCTCAGTTGTCTGGTAGTGCGCTCAATATAGCTTTCTCCACTGGAGCAGCTGAATTCATAGATACACATAGAAGTGACATAACCAGGTAACTTATCCTTTAGTAGAGGAATCACCATAGATCGGATCGAGTATGATTGACAGATTAGCTGCATTAAACGTTCCCTTACCTGCTCTAGTCAGTCTATCCACGCAACACGTCACTAGCCATATCTCTGTTGAATTGCCGCTTCAGGAAGAGAGGTTTCTTACTAGCCGTTGATGGTGCTATTTTTTTGTTTGTTACAATCCAAGTTTTCCTTCAGGAAACCTTGTGGGTAACCCATTGGAATTAACATATCATGTATAAGCTCTAGTTCCTTGTTTATAGTATCGACTGAGGATATCTTCCTATCTCTGCTTGCAAGATATTTTTACTAAGTTTTCCTTGTAATGAAAGGGTGAAAAGCTCAAGAAATGTGTGTACTGACTTGCTGAAGAACTTTTCTTATACACACTTCTACTGATAGAGCAACTTTTTTTCTATTTAACAAAACGTCAAGCATATGTAGTTTATTATCAAGTCCCTCTTCACACGTAAATTTGACTGCTGAATTTTTATTGTTAAACAGCTCTAAAAGTTTTTCTTTTCCAATGTTCTGATTGATGATAATGAAAGTATCATTAATGTAACGACAATAGAATTCAAGCTTATTGATAACCTCTTTGAAAGGTCCGTTTACTAGTTTTGCAGGAAAAAAATCGGAAAGGATAAGACTCAGATTTGTCTATAATATATGTTATTCAAAACAAAATGGACATTCATTACACATTTCAGAAGTAATTCATTGAGGCAAACCTCGAGAATTCCAATATTGATCTGTTTTTCAAGCAGTTAATGGCAAACAGAGACAATAGTCTCAGTTAATGGTACATTGGTGAACAAGGAAACAACATTTAGAGATATCATCCATTTTCCTTATAAGTTCGTATGTTCGAAAACGTCTTCGACGCTTCTGTTGACAACTAGTTTGTGTAAGGGATCTAGGATTCGAACTAACAACTTTGCACTTTTGTGATATGGTGAATTATGCATATTTAAAACTGAATGAAGAGGAAGTTTTTTCTTGTGGACTTTGGGTAAGTCATAGAGTCCCCGTGTGTTAGATCCAATGGGTTTAAGTGAATCTTGAATGAGGAATAATTAAAGAGAGAGGAGGATATTTTCAAGTACTAAGTAAAGTCAAATAATAATAACGTTTCATAGCGATAGTACAGATAAGAATGACGTACTTCTTTCGTACTTACAGTTGCAGCTTCTGCTATTTTAAGGTGTTGAATAAGAAGAAATGTTGGTGAATTTGAATGAATTCTATTAACAACCTTTGGATCAACAGAGTGTTTGTAATCGAGAACTCTTAACCGCTAGCTTCTCACTCTTGTAGAACCTTACTAGGACATGCTCTCGTGTGTGAGATCAAAGCCTTCATTGACTACGGTTTGTGAACACACACACTCTACATGAGCAGGTGGACTGGTAAATACACATATGGGCAACCAGACGAGGGAGCTTATTCTTTACGAATACCTTAAGTAAATTTCCACCCGTGAACGTTAGTCTCCGCTTTGCCGTATAGAAGATTCTTTTTATGGCTTTTGACAGCCATTTTTAAGTACAACAGATTCATATGAAGATATTTTTTTAAAAAATCCTTTGGATTTCTTGTTCAGATTTTCATGTTATTCTCTACGAGGTGGCCTGGATAGCTTTTGTCAGTCAATGTTTTTTTCAGAGGAATGCAAGTTCTTCATCAACGCATTCAGTACCACAAATCCTACGTATTCGGTAACATACAGAGTGAATAAGATTCTTCTTTTTGCCTGATGGGACCCAGCCATTGAAGTTAGTTAGTTGGCGGTTCGATGTTCGTTTTCACTGATATGTTGAAAAACTGCAGTTTTTAAACACTATAAAATCTCAACTTCCTCCTGAATATTCCGTCTTTAAATCTAAAAATCACACGAATTTGTGAGCACCTGTAATGTGATATGATGTTTGTGTAAGATGTGCTCACAGTTCAACTGTCGACCATTTCAAATACTATCAGTCAAACTAATATATGTGATCAGTCCTCAGTTTACTTACAGCAGATGAGATGGTTATTTTTCAGTCTTCTATTCCGTTGTTTACTAATACCATACTATAGATCTTAGCACTTAGAGTCTTTCGTGTTCAGCTTTCTAAATCACTATAGGGTATAGAAGCTTAGTGGTTAAATGACTAAACGTTCAACTGAAAACCATTAATTGAAAACCCAGTTCTTTTTATTTCAGTCTAGATACTTGTGCGTTATAAGCCAGCATATTTAAAGTGTTGCTTAAGGCTGAAAACAAGAGTATATACTACATAAACGGGTTACATAAATTAGGAATATAGTTACTACAAAGAAATACAGTACTAAATATCTCAATTTTCTCCTAAGTGTTTTAGATGGATGCATCATTTTTAGTCAGTGAAATAATCAATTCTCATTAACAGAATATTTAAAGTTATATGTTATAAATTGTTAATATCAGTCTTTGCATAAACTAACTAAGATTTAAGAAAGGTATGATGAATTATTCAGAAAAAAATCCAATTAAAACATACGGAAATTGAAGCTATATAAAATTTTGTGCGATTCATTGTGCTAAAATAGAGTACTTTTAGTAATGATAATTATGATTGGCAGATGAATGTATAACTAACTAACATCCCAAACACGGTGCAGACGATGTTGAATCACTCAGACCAATCGCCACATCATGACATGATTGATAGAATTCAATCAACATCAACGGACTAGACAAACCTAAAATTACTCACTACTCAGTGATTAGTCATTTGTAAATATATTAGTCTAACAGAAGGTACATCACTCTCTTAATAGCTCAGTGATAAGCTCTCAGACTGTGAAGCTATCTTACACAGGCTTGAACTCATCATGGAATCTCAGTTCCCTCAAGACTGCTGATACATTGTACTGACAAATCCAAAGTGGGATGAAATCCATATTCACTGTTACATTCTGATTACCTTAAACCAAATAACGATGTGTAACTTTGTTTGTAGTATTACAGCCTTACTGATAAACTTGTAGTTGTTTTAACGTTGCGTGACTTAATACAATTGTCTACTCATGGGGATACCACAAAAATATATTAGTTATTAACTTTCTACCCAATAATCATGTAAAACTACGAATTCCTACAGGTTATTTTTATCATATAAAAATTTATTCTAATAACATACATTTATTTTTTTCTTTGGAAAATAAAACATATCAACTACGATTTTCGGCCTAACACAGTTACTTCAAAAAGATAAAATTAATCGACTTGGAAGTGAAAATGATTTTGAAGAAATTAGTAAGCACCGATTTTTCAAAGATATTGATTGGATAAAACTATTAGAGCGCAAATTAACTGCACCATTTCTGCCATCAGTAACCTCCTCAACTGATACACGAAATATTTCACCGGAATTTGTCAATTCCTCTGTACCAAGTGGGTGAAATTTTTATACGTTTAATTTTAATTCGTAAAACTATAATTTAGTGCCCTTTTTTGTGTGAAAAAAGCTTAACTAATGTTGATTTATTTTGAGGTGAGATATAGTCAGTTATAAGTGAACAAATAAAAATAATTTAAGATATAGGAATAATTTTTAACATTCACAAACTGTTACATCTTAAATCGATCAATATAACCGGGTCTTCCCAATTGTTAACTTTAAATGCCTTATAGTTTTCAATTCAGAAACCTATTCCTCTTTGCATAGATCAAATTAACATTCATCATTTTCTTTGGGTTGTTGATATTATTTTTTTAATCGTATATTTTAACCTTCTTTTAATCCACCTCTGCTTTGTTCAATACATGTAGTTGGTGACTTTAGATATCATAACTAGAAATTGATTACAGATAATGTAGATTAATATAAACAAGTTTCCATTTATTTTCTGCACTAAATCTTATTTGAAAAGATGACATGTGAATTGAAAATTGATAGTAGAAACTCAGTTGTATTCATTCTTCAACTTCCTTTGGGTTCATTGTACTTTCATTCATCGATTCCATTCATTCTCTAAAAGTTACTTTTTTTATTCTTATGTTTTTAACCATCGTTGAAAATACTGCTCATTTGATTTCATTTGCCAACCACTAAATCTCAACCATTTAGTATTCAGAAGTGAGAGAACCCCAGATGAGTTAATTCAATAAATGATTTTGTACTAAGGAACATAAGTGGTCTTTTATATCACACCATATTTAACTAAAATAGTGTAGCTATGATTGAATGATAAATAACTAATCAAGAATGTTTAACAATTGAAAATAGTCAGCGAAAAATCCTGTACCTGGATTGAGTACTAATGGGTGTTCATCAGAGAGGCTTACTTACAGCTGTGAGGAAATTGATACTTCTTGATGATCTTGAATTAGCGTCACGAAGCTTCACACTTTGAGATGTTATCATTGAGCTATCTGAACAACAGATGGAGCATCAATACACTCAAGATTACAGATATCTCTTACTAACAACTGTCATCTAGGTCCATGGTTTCTTACTGACTACTTTCAACCACCTTATCTCTCAACATAATGCACACAATATCATAACCTTAAGACTAATGGCCACATTGCAATCTAATTGATGTGATTAGATCAGTGCTAAACGGATTAGACAAACATAACATTGTTCAATAATCAGTGGTTTACTAGCTGTAAATTTATCAAGCATAAAAATGAATATTATAAAGTAATCGATGATCACTTTTGTTTACCGTTTGAACGTTTAATTCATGAAGTGAAGATAATGAAACGCAGCATTATTCCTTTCAGTAATATAATTACTTTAATGAAGGTTCTTTATTTTATATTTGACATCTGTCATGTGGTCACTTATTAAGTGAAAAACTAAAATAAACTTAATTATCTTAATAACATTATCAATAATAGTGTTCATTCTGAAATTTCAGATTCCCTTATATGTTCTGTAATGCGAGCAAGAAATCTTCATGGTATAGATGAAACATTTTCTGGATTTTCTTATGTCCCAACTAAAAATATTCATAGTTAGTCATAGTTGGACTGAACATAAACTTATTCCTACATACCTAATTTACATTCGAATATATTATATTCCGTTGCTTTCATGTTTTCATTATAGTTCAATTGTCCAATGTTAACTACCTATAATATTTAAATCTGCTCCAAATAACTCATTTAAATGTTGAAATCAACTATTGGAACAGCTTGTACTATTTTAGTTGTGGAGATGTTCTTGAGGATAAACATTGATGAACTCATAGCTGCTGCTTGATTCCGTTTATGTATAATGCTAATAAAATATAGATCCTAATTAACCAAGTATACAATCTTTTGAAAATGGGGAAAATGCAGTAGGAGTACCGTTTCGTATACGTAGATTTCAAACATGAATATAAACAGTAGACAAAGGATATAGGTATAGATAAAACGTTTCAGTTGAATACGCACTAAAAGTTAGGCCTAACTCAAATTATATAAGCAATGTTTATAATGCAAGAAGATAGATAGACACATACATACCAAGCACATACACATACTTATCTAAAACGTATTTTGTGATTTAGCATCGTTAGAAATGTCATAAGAAAATGCACTTGAACAGATTACCAAACCTTTGATCGAATTAGAATGATACCTAATAGTTCCAGTTTGATACAGACGCATGCAGATGGGGAGTATATTCTAGGTGAATCATATTAGAAAATATAGACATCTGTTCCTAGACATAACATTGTTGTTAGTTTCTTCAAGCTAATTAGGCGAATCGAAACCGTTGCAAAGTCGGTGAAAGATTTTGTAGAAAAATGTAATGAAAAGCCATAAGTAAACACTTGCTTGTACTGCTTCTTACTTGCCAAAACAACACATCCACATGACTATCAAAATGGGATAACAAGAGTGGGAAGAAAGAAAAGCTTTTAGTTAGCTTTTGGAATAGAAAAACAAAGTCACATGATTGTTTCATCCAGTGTGATTGTTGTTCAATACATTCTTGTTTTTATCCACTGTGATGACTGTTTGAAAAGGGTCCTCGTTTTATTTAAAGAGTAATGCTTTTTTTCGTCATAACATTGATTTTATTTTCATTGTGGTGTATGATATTTTTTATATTCAAATAATTTGAACTCTGTTCAGCATCTCACGCAGTATGTGTTTTCGTAATAATTCTGTGCATTTTTCATGCATGTGATATTTCATAGTTAACTATCGAGTAGGTGTGCAAATCAACGTATAAATGAGTAAATATTTTGGTTATATGGGATATTTTTGGAGGAACAATAAATTTTCGTTTGTATCCATCTTCTGTGTCCTTACTTCGCGTTGTAGAGCTTCCGTTGTTTTCCATTTCTAAAACATATCTTGGTTTATTTTATGGATAAAAGGCTTCTTGTATGTATATGAAGAGTGGTAAGGAAATTCATTATCATCTGTATAAAAACGTGGAAAATTCCTATATGTCCTAATTATGGATATATAGCAGGAACAGAACAAGTCCAAATATTAGCCATTCGGACGATAAACATGTTTATGTTTTCACAGTTTCGTTGGATTCATTGAAAATGAGATATAAAGTTTGATGAGGCTTCTTGATATCTGTACTATATTAGTTGGGTCATTAGTGCTTCGTGTAATGGTTAGTTGAAAGCATTTTTAAGGTCAGAAGTAGTCGATAGTAGATCATTTTTGTCTATGTAGTAGGTTGAGCTATGATTGTTACCATTGTAGGTCGTTATAGTGGATCTGTACTTAAGACGTATATCGAATGGCTGAGATAAAATTTTCCGAATGAGTAATTCATGTACTAATTTTTCATCCGTCTATTTTTCGTATATCATATTGTAGGAAGCAATTTCCTACAAGTGCAACTCTAAGTTATTCTCTAGACTGTCGAGCACAGAGTTTTGGTTTCTCCACAGTCAGAACAAGTAAGCTATTTGGCTTAATAAACTTTATCTGTTTCTAAAACGTAAATTAACAACGTTAGTATACAAATAAACAGTAAAGTCTATTACATAGGAAAAAGGAGAGACATAAATAACATACCGAACACTAACTAGAGAATTGAAAAAATGAGTCAACAAGGCGAATATTCTTTTACAATGAACATAAATTGTGACTCGACTCTATATGGTCTACCAGTTTCTGTGTTCATTAAGCTATTATTTAGTTTGTCATCTGGTTCTGAAATGTTGATAGTGAATTGTGTAACCAAGTTTAACGCGATCCAGTCTGCATCAGTGTATCTCTGCAGATATCATTCAAGTTTGGTTGTGTCGTATTTCAGAAAATCATGGAGTTGTCACTCTTTTCCTTATATAATCTGATAATACTAGTAACATGTGAATGTGAAATAATATAACGAAGTAGTACCAATCACACTATATCTATAACTCCTACGAGAAACAATCAAGAACTCAAATTAGAAGTGCGTAGTATAGAGTTGCATTGTATTGTAAGAACATCAACTTTGATGTTCTATCGTCGAAATGATTGGGGGCCTACTAGAGTTAAACGAGAATGGTGACGAACCAATTAACGCTGAAGTCACACCTCGCGACCAGCCCTTACGTGGATTGAACCATCGACGCATCAAAGGATAATAGATGCTATGGAGACTGTACAACACAAAGGACGTTATTACAAGAATATATTAGTTAAGGTACAACTACGGAAGTACAGAAGTGAAAGAATAACCACTGCCGCGTGGGCCAGTCCATGGCGTACGATTGGTTTGTGCGCGTTGACTATCCTTGACCTTGACAGGGATCAGTGATCTGTTCGATATTCAGTGACCCTACAGTATCATTATGGTTGATTTAAACACAACATAAATTAATTAACTGTACAATAAATGTACTGGCTATTCACCACAGGAAAGTCTTCAGATAAATAACTATTATCTTCTTTATCATTCAGTAGTTAGAATCAGAGTTTATCGAGACTCTGATTTCGAAAAACATTTGAAAAGCTTGTATTTTTTTAAAAACTGTGTTACATTAATCCATTGTGTCTCAACTAATTACATACTAGAATAATTGAAAGTAATGCATTCACTTGGTGTCATAAAAGTCTTCACATCTGTCAAAAGGCACCAAAGTAACTGTGTACGGGCCTGTACCTAAAGAGACGAAAAAACAACGAGTACATGCGGACGTTTTATTGGAATCGATACTGAAATCCTCAGCACTGCTAAAAGCATTTGACATTTTATACAAACACCATAGGACTAGACAATTAGCGCCTCTGAGCTAATTCAATCTAGGTTGTTAATAAAGTCCAGGAATGAAGATGATACCGAGTCCTTCTAAATCCGATTAACCGTGCTTATCTTAATGCAGAACATCTTGTACCATAGGTTGTTTGGCAGCCAACATAAATGTTGTTTGGTGAAGTTCATATTCGCTACCATGTGGTACCATTTGAAATACTTTAATCGAATCGAGGAAAATAATTGAGAGTCATGTTTCTTGGTCCCAACCGGTTGTACAGCTGCCTCACGACGTGCGAAGTTTTGAGGTTTACCTTTCGTTACATTTTTTCCCATACATGCTGCACAATTTAGCTGGAACGGTATCCATTCCAAACATTGCTAAATATTTGTCCCATTGTTCTTTATCAAAGGCCGCTTTATTTTCTAGTAAGTAGCCCTCCTACACCGGGACACTTGATAAAATCAAGGAGTTCTAAATGCTGTTCTTATCCCTACTTTTTGGCATTTTAAGAGCTATGATTTTGCCATTTTCCTTCTCAGCATTCACACACTGCTCCTTATTGTTATTGTGGTATTAGCAACAGTGCGTAGTTTCGTCGGCGTATAGGCGCGGTTTATGGCTTCAGTAGTCTCGAGTTTGGTCGGGCCTGTGTTTGATGGCTTGTATATTTCAATAAGGATTGATATGGGAGCTTTCCATTGGATATCACAACTCTCTTATAGTTCTGTTGGTTCATTTCCTACAAAATGTGAACATACGCACCAGAGCCACGGGCCTTATATCAGCAAGCAGAATTGCCCAGGTACTGTGACATTGGTCTCAAAACCTTTGGTATCTCTGGTAGGTAGGTTGTTATTCCTGGACAATCTACGCTGCAATTCCCTGTCTGCTACTTAGTAGTTTCCGTTTCCCATATCCGAAATCTTTTTATGAGGTATAGGGACCACAAAATGACTATTTTCGAAGCACGTGTTCATGTTCACAACCTGTGTATTCGCATCTTCTTCTGATACAGATTCATCACTCCAATGGATATGGTCAGACTTCCCATCATTAGGCTTACGTACTTGGACCCTTATATTTTGTACCACATTTTTATTACTACCGAATCTTTTTCTAAGGTCCAGATCAGATGAAGGTTCAAAGACTGTCCACCCTAGCAGCGTTTTCACGGCGTACAGACTTCTCCTTCCACCCAACCGTTGCTCAAGTACCAAATGGGCTGCTGGAACGTCAAAAACTATCAGTAATACGACTTCGCCAGAATCCAGAATATCTAAGGGCACATCACCTAAATGCGGCCACTTGCCTAAGCTGTTCATCACTGACTTCGTCGGCTTGTGCCCTGGTATTCGCGACACTACCAGAGCTCCTTCAATCTTAACATGCTCGGACTGATCTGAAGAGTATACATCGAAAGGCGCCTTTGTAACCCCTGTTGTTTTGTTACATCTTACGGTTTGTACTACCACTGACGCCTGATCCTCCTTTAGCCCGAGCAACTTCAAACAATCTGACCTGATCAATGTTACATCAGAGCCATTATCCAAAAGGGCGTAGTCTACAATTTCAGCATTCCGCGATCTTAACCGCACGGGGATCATTCCTAAATACACATGACCATCTAAGGATTTAGTAATGCCACAACAGTTTTCCGCACTGGGTTCTTCCTCTGAGCTGCTTACTTTCGAATCATCGTGCAATAGTGGGTGATGTTTCTTCGTACATTTGTCGACCGTACAGCGCTTTCTCAATCTACATTCGTTAGCCTTATGACCTTGTTTAAGACACGCGAAGCAGATACCATTGCTCTTAA